CTTTAAACACAGCACACTGCGCTGAGACCATAAATGGTATGATAGATTGTGAAACTGTGATGCCAAGTCGCATTTTACAATAAAGTAAGCATACAAATGAACTCATAATCATGCTAAGCCACTAGACATCTTAACAGGGATGCGGATTCAAACTTGATGCCGGATAGGAATTCAGATATCGTCCAAAAACATTTGCGATTGCAAAACAAGTATAACTCAACTCAAATTTCTAAAAATGCTTTGCGATTTAGGACTGCTACTCGATGCAGCTTTGTTACTCCCCTCAAATGGCAACAAATATATTCACAAATGCAAGACATTCTAATCGAGCGGGTGCAGAAGCATTTAGAAGAGAAATTGTACAGTTTACAATGAATTTGTTCTTCAAGATTTTCTAGCTTGAATCCACGTTAAGCTTCAACTATAAATGCTATACATTTCGAAATGTTCATTGGCAGTGCATAAAACCGTAAATGTCGGTAATCTATTTGATGGTCGTTGAATATTCAGGTTACAAGAAATCAGTATAAATGAAGAAAGGATTATATAAGTTGATTTCGTTCCGTAACAGTGGCTGCCTCCTAGTTCTCCTGACTGTGCACTTCTGAATATTGATGGCCTAACAAGGAAACATTGAAGCTAATCTACAGCTATAAAGCTGTAATTTTGAAATTAGTACTAAACAATAGCGAAACCTACCGTTACGAGTGGTGCTTGTATGCTGTACTCTGTCTTTCTGAAAACATGGACAAAAATCAGAAAAATTAAGATATATCAACTTTGAAAGAATTGGGAAAGAAAGGAGAGGAGAAGAGGGCAAATCATTTTTCGTTCCAAGATTAAGTACAGTTGTAAAGAAGAGTTGTTGCTCTTTGATTGGTTGGTATTATGGGCAGGAAAGATTCTAAATAGAAACTTCAATTGTTGGGAGTGCAGTTGTTGTGAAAACGAAAAGCTTTGCAAGTGCAAATGAGATCCAATTAAGCACAAATCAGCTTGAGAATAATGTGCGACGGACCGCAAGCACAAAGCTGTATTGCTAAATCACCAGCGTAAGTTCCCATTGAAAATATTTGTTGTTTATCATATTTTGCCGCTTTTCAGCGTGTACAGTGTGTGAAGCATCATAGGCTAGTGAACTCTTTGATTGTCAAGTATGATAGCCAGATTCTACCCGCATGGATAAAGTAATGCTCAGTCGAGCGGAAACTTGTGGAAATCATGCAACAAATTCTACTTTATGTCATTATATGAGAAAAACCAAGTGTATGTTTCTTAGTCAAAAATATGGTTAAGTCACAGCGCAAAGGTCTTCACTCACTTTGTGCAATGATTACCTCTCTATAATAGGATGTACTTTGAATAATGAACTCAAAATCCGTAATTTAGCAAATCTGGGGGGATAAGTGCGTTTTTCGTTGTCCGTTTCCCTTTGAGAAGTGCTGAAGTAGCGACTTGGTCAGAACGTCTGCGAATGCAACCTTTTCTGTTGAGTGTGAGTTGACATCAGATGACCAGATTTGCCTAATTCACACAACCTTTCAAGATGATCATCCTTGCTGAAGCATTACCCGTCGTTGGAATGTGGAAAAAGTACAAGCCTGGAACTGGAAAGAATTACCACCTTTGGAAGAACGAATACGAAAAGCCATGGAAAAGCGAGAACGAGATTCTCACTGAAGAAGACTATAACGAATGGTTTCAGAAAACTGAGCAATATTTCGAGGACTTGGCAAACGGAAAGTATAGACTTTGGGACCAGCATTTGAGTGTTGTTTTTGGTGATAATGGTGTGATATACTACGATGATGGCGTTGATTATGGTGACTATTACGAGGCATTCGACAATGAGTTAAAATAATTCAGTTCGAAAGACGAAAGCTGTTCTTTTCAAAATCTCATATGTACTGAAATCTTAAATTGTATGTTTCTACTTTTATAAGTATCAGGTTGCGTGGTATGTTCGTTCTCCTTTTTCAAACTCTTCACCAATAGTTTGTACTGTGTTCAATGAAATATGCATATGCTTTGGAAGAAAGCTTTTATTCAGCTTTATCGTTTTTTGCTTTAGTTCTATAGATAAGCGATTTCGGACATTTCGTAGTTTTTAGATT